GCCTACATACATAGTGAAAAAAGTACAGTATTACACAGCAATTACCGACATCCTTCATGTTGGGTTGGCTAAATGGCTACAAAAGAAATTCTGTAAGTTTGATCTACTTATCAACCCAGCTGCTGCTCAGAAGCCATTCATTCTAGAGACAGTAATTGCTGTATGGCAACCCAACTTTAATAACAAAGCATGTCTTGAGGGGATTTTTTGTGCGTGTGTGTGAACTTGACAGGTCGCCAAGTTAGATGTCATCATAGCCACATCGCCTTACTTCTCCTGTGATATTGTTATTTTTCGACTCATAATTATGAGTAGATACTGTGCAAGTATTTTTATTTGTTTTCTTTTACTGTACTCTGTTACATGCGCACACACTTGTCATACAGAATGCCCCCCCACCCATCAAAAAAAAAAAATAAGTGATTATCTTAAGTTCAAAAACAAAGATATTAAACATTTCTTATGTCCATGGTAGTTAGTGTGCAGCTTCAGTGTTGTGTGCACTTATTATCATGTTACAATTAAATAATGGGACTCAATGGGAAAATTGGTCCGGCGTAACGGAGATCTACATCACAAAAACATTTTCAAGGATAGATCCCTTCCGTAACCCGGAGGAAGCCAGTATTTATTACAGTAGTATAATTTTTATTTATTCCTAACATTTACTGGTACTACAGTATATGCACAAATGATGCAACCCTGGTGCCTAAGGTCCGTAATTGCCTTGGATAATGAGGAGTATCTATTGAAATATATGTGGTGAAAGTTGCTGGCTGAGAAAGCATCTCCCCTTATTCAAATTAATTCTTATGGGGGAAAATTGCCCCAATATTCACAATTTCGTTATTTTCAATGACTTTTAGGAATGCCTCCCTTGCGATAACTGGGGTATTCCTGGTACAGTATGCACGTGACACAGTACAGCCGGGCAGTCACCCAGCTGACCCAATGCCTTAATACATATGTTCACTTCCCACACATACACACACATGCTCTTAATTTTTTTTTTTTTAGTTTTATAATTTCTTTATTTCTAAGCCACATTAGAGTATTGTAATGATTTCTTTTCTTCTCAAACAAGCACAGAGAAGCGATAAACATACTGAGATAAGGGAGAAGGATGGTTTGTTGATCCTTTATATAATGTACTTTAAACCTTTGTTATCAAACCACTATAAAACTATTTAAAATTCAGATACTGTACCATGTGGCAACAATGGTACATATTCTGTTACGAGTAATACTATTAGAAATGTCGTTTGACAATAAATTGACGATACGTATTTAGATAGCCAAGCAACTTATGAATTACACTGGTGTCAATATACATTACTGGACCCTCGATAAAGAATGATATTAGGTTCCTGAAACCTCAATTAGTTGTGAATCATTCTTTACTGAACTTCTTATGGGAAAGAGGGCTAGGGTCTGAACATCGCAAAGATTGACTTTTTTAACTATAGTACGTATGCCTATTTTCATCCACGATGGCGTCACAGCAGTAGAGTACTGCATTCACAAGAGTACTGTACTGTACATAACATAAAATATGGTAAGAAATGATTTATTGAGAATCGTGCATGTCGTATTCTCTTTACCACCGATCAACAACTAACCATCACCACCCTGCACCATCTCCCTACTGTACACCCATCTTATGATGTCAAACAACAAGCATGGAATTATTGTGATCCTAATACTACTCATAATAAAATCACTGGTACTGTACTTCCCAAGGTAAAACTACTTTGTTCAGCAGCACACCTCCATACATTATTTGTTACTTATGGCATTATAAATTTTATGATTTGACAGATAAGGATGGGTGTTTTATTCATATTTTATTTTGCGTTATTAACAAGGTTCTGAGTTATGAATAAATCAACTTATGAACAGGTCCTGAAATGTAACCCGTTCATTATTCAGGGGCCCCTGTACAGTATACAGATTCATCCAAGGCAAACACTTGGATGGATGCCAATATGCAGAAATTAAAAGCAATATAACATTTACGAGACAAAAACTTATCATATTTTCTTTAAGATCTGGAGAAAAAATATAACTTAAGTGTACATCTATTATCTATACTGTAATTCAAAATTTATATTTCTTTAATATTGTATACCATCAGCTTCAACTACAAAGAAAATTATATAAAGTTAAATTTACCTGTACATGTGGTTTCTTCTCCAACACTTTCTATGAAGATATTTCATTCCATCCATCAATGGGTCCCAGCTTTCATAATGTGTGAGAAGTGAGACAGCAATAAAAGATGTCATCATGGGAATTGCACCAATATAAATTAGCAGTGAATACTTGATGCCCTTGAGCCAGATGTCCACAAACATTGTCAAGGGAATAGTTAAGCTCAAAGATAAAGTAGCCATCAATGATGAAGTAAGGAAGCATCCCCTGCAAAATAAAACACCTTCAATTCCCAAGTAATTCCAATGTAGGTCAAACAATTATAGAAGGTGTTAACTAAGAAGACAATTAAAAAAAAAAAGAATCTTTACTGCAAAATTTTTTTCTTGCATTATCAGCTAAGAGAGGAATGTATGATATTCTCTGAAACACTTCAATTCAGAAACAAATTCAGACTTTATTTCAAGAAATAAAGTATAAAGGTAAGCACCTATTTGGTACATCCTTTTTCTCTTTTATGATACAGTGGCTACAATCAAGAACATATACACACACACACTGTTCGTTTTTGTCACTCATCCTCTAAACCGCTAAGACACATGCATTGTGCGATATTGTTCCCTTCCACAACAATGCTCAAAGACATCCTTCTACATTTTCCCTGTCACTTTACACAATCTAGCATCCTCAAACCACAGAGTCCATTCTCAAAAAGTACTTGATGCCATACTGTCTAGTCAGGCTCAAGATGATTATAAACTAACCTAAGGTATCATATTGTTTCACACAGAGTAAGCACAGATACTTCTTTTAGCTACTGTACCTATAGTTTTTTATTTTCCTTTTTTATGATGGTTTTTCAATAATCATAATCTATGGTTTAAACATATGGGAGATAATGGCCGGAATCAACATTTCAAAGAGGTCATGGTCATCAGTGCCCAACCATAAAAATTCTGGACATATTAATCAAATTTCATAAATGAGATTGACAATGTCAATACTTTGTTATAAATGGTTTAATTGATAAAGCATTACTAACCAAAGCCAAAGAAGTTCAGACAGGACAGTTCCTACTAAGCCATTAACAGACATGTAGAACAGGTGTTGCAGATTTGGCAACTGAAATGTCTCCCATCCAAAAACATCCAACAGGGGGAACCCAGGCCACAGAATGATGGTATTGAAAAAGCCCACAAATCCTGGAGAAAAAAAAATATTAATAAGAAAACAAATTAAAAAGACCAATACATTCAACCTATCTATCTACAGTACCTACACCAACTGTGCCACAAATTTTGTTTTATTTCAAGAAGTTAAAATCATTACACTTTAATAATTCACACCCGAACAACTGAAGGCAATAAATTTGTACAGAATAAAGCAAAATTATCTCTCCCTGAAAAATAAGAATCCTCTCTTTGTGTTAGTGTTGTGTTCTGACAGTTTAACGGTGTGAATTCCCATGAAGAAGTAAATACAATGCCTGCCAAGTAACTGAAGTATGGCATATGAATACGATGTGACAGTTAGAAATTCAATGACAACACAATTGTATTAGCTTATGACTACCTGGTAAATGTAATAGGAGAGTGGTTAAGTTATCATTTCATATTACTGTACAGCAATATTGCTAAAGTATTACCTTCAAGAACTATAAAAACATTGACCAGATCATGATGGATCAGGGAGTTGATCATTCTTTGAACTGGGTCGACTCCTCTGATTTGCCCTTTGAGGAGATGCTGATATTACATAATGATGTCTTCTAGTCCATTTCAAACCATTATTGTCCAGAGGTGGCAAAGAAAATTACAGTACGAGATGACTCTCGTTGGAATGGATCGTAGAAGTGCTGAATGAGAGAAGCACAGGCAGTGAACAGACCGTACTAGATCAGAGTACATAATATGACTGTGCGTACGGCTGTTGTTTGTTCAGTGTGGGCACACAACGCTGAATATTGTATACTACAGAAGTCAAATGGCCTCATGTGGCAGTGACCAGAAAAAAATATATACAGTTATGAATGGGCTGTTGGGCCAAAGGTCTGGAATTACTATGCTTTGTTCCACTTCAAATGGTCAGCTTGCCTCAGATTTTTCCTAAGGTTTTTATGACAAAGATATCATGTGACCTTGATTGTGTTTCTTTAGATGAGAAATTTTCAGTTATTTTCAACCAAGTTACACAATAGAACTCACTCTTTCATCATTTTGTCTTACAGAGGTGAACAACATTCTGCACTATATCAAGGATTTGAAGAAGACTTTGTTGTCGTGATCTTACAAATGTATTTAAGGTATCACTCTCTTATGAACATACTGCAGACTTTATTTGTAGAATCATACATATGTGATTTTCAGAGGGTAATTTTGTGTGATCTGAAAAACAGGCTTTATTACATCCACTTCTGGTCTTGATACTGAAAATATGTAAAATTATAGTCATCCAGTCTCGAGTCTCATTTTCATCAGAGATCATACTATGCTGGATTAGTTACTTTCTCTGTTAGAGAGAAGCAAGTGATCCATCTGGTCCAGTCAGCCTATAGGTTGCATCATTCAACTGAAACTGCCTATGTTGAATTCATAATGATTTGGTAATAAACACTTGCACAGAAAAGTCCTCCCTCCTGGCCCTACTGGATCTCTCTGCAGCATTTGCAGCATGGCTTCAGGATCTTTGGTCATTCAGTGTCCATGATGATGCATTCTCACTGTTTGAGTCTTATCTGTCAGAGTGATCTCAATGTGTGATAGTTGGTGGAACCGTTTCAGACCCGGTCCCTTTGCAGTTTGTCGTCTCACAGGGATCAGTTTTGGGACCACTTCTGTTTACAGTCCATACCAGTAGTTTTGTAATTTTGCTGGATGTGTAGGTTACTAGTGTGCCCTGAAGAATGCTGTGATGGCTAGGGAAACACTGAGTAACACTGAGTCCGTTTATTGTGGATGAGAGAAATACAAGTGGTGACCAGCGTGTGCCAAGCACGGCTCACACAGTCAGACTGAAGCTGCCTTGCCATATGGCAGCCTCGGGGCAATGTTGCCACATAACACGTGCAGTGTTGCCACGTGATTATATATATAAATGCTACTCGGCACAGTAGCTTATGTACAGGGTTGCTACTTGGCACAGTAGCTTATGTACAGGGTTGCTACTCGGCACAGTAGCTTATATACATAACCTACATCTCCCTCCCCCCTCACGCTCATAGTCTTTGTCTTGAGCGGACTTCTTAGTCCTAAGTCGCTCCGAGCGTCGAGGTGCACTGTGGGGCGGATCCTCGTGAGGTGTAGGTGACTCGTCCTCGGTCAGGGGGCCAGCAGCAGGGGGTGGGACTGGCCGGAGGAAGCGGCGGTTCCTCCACCAGACACGGCCGCTCGGCATCCTGACCTTGTAGTCCCGCGACCGGCCGACGCCCATCACTATGCCCACCTTGTCCCAACGTGTCGTCGTCGGGTCCCAGACGCAGACAAGGGCACCAATCTCCAGTGGCTGAAGGGGGCGGGCACGGTCGTCATACCGAGCTTTGGCGTCCTGGGCACGTGAAGCGGCGCGGCGGTCACAGCTCTCGGCTTTGGTCTGCCAGTCCTTCGCAAAGGCCTTGGCGTGTGTAGGAACACAAGAGCGGAGAGGGTGACCATACAGGATCTGGGCAGGGGAGCGTCCTGTGTGGGTGGGAGTGGATGCGGGTTCTGGGCAGCTCTGTGTGGCAGTGCCAGGCGCGTCGCTCGTTAACTCACGCACCCTGCTGGCGGTGTACCGAGCAGCTGGGATCTGCTCAGGAAAGTCTCTGGGCACCACGCCTAACTCCTTGCAGTGCACCCACGACAACAAGGGTGTAGCGAGAGTAGGCCGCACGTCGATCCATCAGTAACACGACCTGTCGCCGTAGGTGATCTCTGCCTGAAAGGAGCCCACAGCGTCCGGCATCTGGGAACCGTCCGCATTGTAGTACTGCAGCTGCGGCGGTGGTCCCAGGCCGCGTTTGGTGAGGCCCAGTTTCTGGAGGTGCTTCAGGCCTATCACCGTAGTATCGGCGCCGGTGTCTGGTATCACCTCGATGTGACCCGACACATCACCGTGTGTGACGGCGACGCGGATAGTAGGGGAAGGGGTAGCCCTGGGGCGTGTGGTCGATTCCACCCTCCTGATGTGACTCCGCTGCTGCTTGGGGCTGCGTGGGCCATCTGGAGGGGGCTGCGTGCGAACCACCCCGAGGGAAGTGCGCTGCTGTCCTCCTCGTCTCGGGCTTTTGGGCTTGGGTTGGCGGCAGCACTTGTCGTAGTGTCCATAGCGACCGCAGGCCTGACACTTGTGGCCTTACGGTCACATCCACGACACAGTGCGTCGGCGGCCGGGCAAGTCTTGGGGCTGTGCTGCTTTCCACAGCTGCCACAGGAAGCACTAGGCGGAGGCGTGGAAGAACGTGTGGCAGCCTTCGCGTTGTTGGCCGCCTTCTTATCCTTCTTGTATTGTGAGATAGCTCTCACAGCAGGTGGGGCCCGTAAGGCAGAGGTGGCGGACTTGGTGGCCTCGTATGACCGACATTCAGTCACTACCACCTGGAGTGTGGAGGAAGCGTCCAGGGGGATGAGTCGCTGCATCAACTCTTCGTGCCTGACACCTGTCAAGATCCCGTGCTTGATCCAGGCTTCCTCACATTCCCGGCTGTGCGCCTTGCAGACGTCGATCTCCTCCGACAAACTCTTCAAACGTACAAAAAAGTCGTCAAAGGATTCGTTCTCCGCCTGCTTGCAGCTGGTAAAGGCACGGCGACGCAAAGCCTCGTTGTTCCGACCCTTAACGTGCTCCTGTAAAAGGTCGAGCACATCCGTCACTGAAGATGTAGAATCGGGAGGCACTTGCAACGTGTGCTCCAAAACTCTCTGGGTCTCCAGCGACAAACACATCCGCAGTTGGATGAGCTGTTTGTTTGGAGGCATGCTGTCAAGGTCCACCATCGTGGAGTAATCTGTCCAACGCCGCCTCCACTCACGAAAAAGCTGAAACGTGACGTCTGGTGAGAGGGCGGGTGGGGGTTGAACAGATGCCTTGGGAGCTGTTGGGGTAGCAAGAGTACCTGGAGGACGCTGGTGTGGTGGAGCAAGAAACGATATGCAGTATTTATGTTGTATTGTCAAACTAAGACACACAATTGAGACCCTGCAATTGTATGTAAATGAGGAAGAAAGGCAGATCAGTAACCTGGGACTTGGTCACAATTTTTTTGATGCCATATGGCAGCAGGGTCTACCATGAGACAACACATTATGCTTCCAATATCTTCCCAGGCAGTAGTGCCTCCCTGTTTGATAGCTGCCTACTACAGTACTGTACCTACTAAATAGAATACATTAGTTATGTCTATTTATCTAAAATGTATTGGTATTCACCATGTTGTAATTCACTTGAAAGATCACTAAATTGTATATTCATTGAAGTACAGTATTATATATTTATTTCAAAGGAATATTCACCAGCAGAGTTTTGAAACCTCCATAATTGTGTGTTGACAGATCTTCATGCCCCCATATTCATTGAGCATAGTCAGTACCAGTGCAAAATTTGATTTTGAATACACTACCACTGGAAAGGTTTCCAAAACAAAGTATAGGTGTCTACAATACCAATGATTCAAAACAAATCTATGCTGGATGCTGTCTCACCTTTATCCAACCAAAGTACTTGAAGTTGGTTTTGGAATGTCCCCTGCTCAACCAAGTTACAAGAGTTTTTGTGCACAAATGTCAGTGTAATATACCAGTAACAGCAAACCTTCCACTGTACAGTATAAAAATTGAATAATGTTGTTTAAACTTTCATTTATTGGTGATGGAACATTTGTGTGATATACATGTCCACAGTGAGGTATACAGTGTCATGATACATTGACAAACTGCCAGCTGCTCTCAGATACATCCATCTCACACCATACAGTATACCCTTACTCTCTTAATTTGTCTTTTATATCTGTATTATTGTGCACTATTTTCTTTATTCATAAGGTACACTAGCTGGTAATTTCATAAGATTCTGTTAAACCAAAAAAATTAACCCCTTAAGCTGAATAAAATTGTCTGGCTCTGGCAAAATTAAATATCTTAAGTGGCCTTCCCATAATGAAGAGATTAGTGGAGATAGTCTACGTACCAACCCCTTGTGTGAAGGTTCCTCTCTGTGCTGAATAAAATCATCTGGTGCTAGCCAAATAACATATTCTAAGTGGCATCCATGTAGTGAAGGAGTTGAAGGCTGAATATATATGCACAGTACAGTACTGTAAGTCCTCGCTTAAAGTGGTGGTTCCGTTCCTGAAAACCATGACGTTAACGGAATCAATTTTCCCCAGAAGAAATAGATAAAATATGGGAGTTATGTTCCCCAGCCTCCCTTTACCCCACAAAATACATTACGCATATATAAATTCAATGAAATTTTTATAGAAAATAGTATTTTTGTTCAATCCATAATGCGACGTCTAGCTTTATACCTAGGTAAGTAAATGCCTAGCATTAACTCGCCAGGCCAACATACAGGCAATTAAAACATCTAATAATTACTTAAATACGTAATATTAGGACACGTCGCTACCTGGCATTTAATTGCAATTCTCAAAACCCCCTCCATCACATGCACTGCCACCGTCATCTCTTGCCTTAGAGCGAGCAGTAAACAAAAGTCAACTCTCGAGGGGTGGAGTTGGGTGGGTTGTCGACGTCACATTCTGGACTATATCACAAAAACTTGTTTAGAAAAAAACAGCATTTTGTTCAATCCAGAATGCGACGCCTAGCTTTGAATACACGAGCAGGAGGTGGAGAGGGAGGTGACTTTGTGTATAAGGCTCCGCTAGCTTAGGTCCAGAATATGATTATAAACTATTTGGAATATTTTCCAATATTAGGAACATTTACCGGAAGGTAAAATGTTAATTTACATATCCCAATTAGGATACTCACTTTATTCTGATGAGGAAGAAGGTCCTGGTTGCGGAGATTGACTAGGTGGGGGAGAGGACCACTTTACCCCATAAAATACATTAAGCATATATGAAGTCAATGAAATTTTTATAGAAAATAGTTTATATTATACATCCAAAAAGGTAAATAAACTATTTCATTTTGTATTGTACTCACTGATTGGCGTATATGAAGCAAGTGTGTGGTGGGGAGTGGAGAGGAAGAGGGTGGGAGAGGAGGAGGGTGGCGAGTCACTGAGAGCCGGAGGGTGGTTCCTCCTCCCGCTGACTGGGTGATGCGCCATACAAAGTAGTCCATGGCGTTATACTGAATTGGCGGGACGTTTTCCGAATCAGGGGTATCTAAAGAGTATCGACGTTATAACGAAACAACATTGTCAATTGCAACGTTAAACGTGGACTTACTGTATATGAAACACATTTACTGTATTTCTTAGTTTTAACTTCTCCCCTAATTTCAAATAAAAGCTAATAGGTATTGGTAACTTTATTTTTTCTTTGAATAATATTTGTATTACAATCTAAACAGAAATGTGATAAAATTCATACGAATGCAAATCTATTAAATCTACATAAACTGTCTAAAGTCTATAGTTACAAAACTCCATTTTGCGAATGATTCAAGTATGATACAAAAGAAACTTGATATTAAAATGAATATTACATTCTTATATTCTTAGCATATCATTATACACTTGCCTCCACACTATCTCACGACAAATGTTTAACAAAAAAAAATTAATGCTCTGCTCATGCTTTACATTCTTCATGAACGGGGTCTAATGTCCGAAATTCTCTCCATGTTGGGGGCATGTGGTTATGAAGATGATTACTACACCTCTTGCACACATCAGTGAAGAGAGAAACAAAACTATGCAGCCAGGTCTGTCAAGGAGAAAAAATTCAATCATTGAATAAATTTTTACATATGGTAATCGCTTCAGTCTTTCTGAACTGATTTTAATGCACTTATTACAAAAGGTAATCTTCAATATACAGTATGAGAATTTTTTTTTGTACATTCTATAATACAATTGTACCCAATTATTTGGGAGTACAGTAACACAGCTTGGCCTGGTAAGAGGACTGTCTAACTTGGTAACATGCCAAGTCCACACATTTGTTCACTTCATACACATACACACCCATGCATTTAATTTTTCTTATTTTAAAGCAACATGCCATCTCCAGATATTATTTATTTCTAAATTGCTTTGCAAATAAGTGGGGTATGCTTTTAAATGATATAGTTCAGTCATGATAAATGGACAACAGGGATAATCTGGAAACTCAGGATTAGTCCTTTCCAGGCCCACTAACTGTTCAAAAGTTCCCAGAGGGATAGAGCGTGTCAGAAGGCTCGAGTAATCCTTGATACTTTCATCCCAAACTGGGAAGATGGTTTTGTCATTTACTGTACAGTACAAGACAGTCAGACCAATCCTTTTCCCTTCTCCTATAGCCTGTTCACTATCACCTATATGTTTTGTGAACTCCCATTCACAATACTGTACCACATTGTCTCCATACAGTACAGTGGTACAAATCTGCGAGGTACAGTACTTGTTTTCTACCCATCTGTTCCCCCTTTCTTTTATCACCATTCATCTCACAACAAAACTGAAGAGCACAGCAAACAGAAGAAGGGACAAAACATTTCCCTGCAGCATACCACTCTCCACACAAGATTCAGGTGAGAGTTGACCATCAACATTAATACATCATCTACTACACCTATTAATATGCCATACTGCATTTCTCTGGTAATCCATTATTTCATAGAGTTCTCCAGAGTGCTGATTGATGCATGCTGTTTAGAGTCTTCTCAAAATTGATGAAAACAATAACAGGGATTGGTTTTCTATACAGTACAGGTTGGACCTCGCTAATCCGGGAAGCTTGGGACCAGACTGGTTCCAGATTTGCAAAAATTCCAAACCACCGAAGCCGAGGTTAAAAAAGGCAAAATAATGCATTAAATGTACTATTACTGTCGAATTTCTTCAGTATAGAAATCTTTTCTAAAATAGTTAATGTCACATGCTTACGTTTTATTGCATTTCAAAAACTTCCACTGCTTGCTGGTCTCTTAAGAGGCATATTTAGGGGTAAATTATAAGTATTTAAAGATAAAATAGTGGCAACAGCCACTAGAAGTGAGCTATGATACCATCCCGAACCATTGAAGCTGCCGGACTATCGGGTCCCAGATTAGCGGGGTCCAACCTGTATTCCACATTCTGCTGTATCATGATTAAGTACAAAGATTTGATCACTGCAGCCCTTTGCTCTCCTAAATCCTGCCTGCTCATATTGAAGATTTGCATCCAGGACAACCCCAATCCACCCAAATGTAGTTGGTACCAATCCCTAAAGTTCAGAAAAGTGAATGCGATCAAGTGCAGTGCCAGTCAACCAGTCTGCTAATGTACCAAAGACTTAGTAGTCAAAGTGCAGTGCCAGCCAAACTGTTTGCACTTCCCCATATTGGCCATCAGGCTAATGTGACACACTTTAATGTTGTAGTGTCAGACACCTCTTGTAAGGTTTGCCCAGTTTTGTGTACAGTACAGTATACACATTTACAATACAGTACATTATACCGTATACAAAACTGTACATAGGACACAATATCACCTCTCAATTACAGTAGATATTTTTCAATTCGTAATTTTGGGTATACAGTATAGTCTCGATTTAAGTGGATTTGGTTTACGCGTTTGGTCATTTACGCGGCACCTTGCCAGACCGACAATTTTTATTTACACGGGTCATTCCATCATTTACGCGGGAAGCGGCGCGGGCAGGGTACGCACAAGGTTGCCCAGTCAACAAAACATTACTGAGTTCTTCACCCGCCACCCACCACAGCCGGCCCAAGTCAGTGATAGTGAGGATATGGACTTTGAGGGGTTTGACAAAGAGGCCCTGCAAGCCTCTGTGGTGGATAGTGATACAGGTGAGGGCCAATAATCTGCCCTCTGCCTCGGAACCAACCCCCCATCCCCATGTGCCCAGCCATCTCTTCTACTAAATTAAGTGTTAAAAAACCTATTATTGATATTTCTGTTAAGTTTTTTGCAGAATCAGTTACTTAGCAAAATGGCCAGCATGCATATTGGTAATTTTGTAAAATAACTTACAAACAGACTACCTAAACTAACCTAACCTTATGGTTAGGACAGCGCACAGTCCAAAGTTAAAAGAAAACAAAAACAACAGGACCATTTAATTGTGCATCAAGGTACAATAGCCATCCAAACCTAACCTAACCTTATTCCACCATAAGGTTTGGTTAGTTTAGGTTATCTGTTTGTAAGTTATTTTACAAAGTACCAATATGTATGCCGGTCATTTTGCAAAATAACCGATTCTCAAAAAAAAAAATAAAAAATTAAACTCAAATATTAAATTTTATTCATTTATTTTACTCTTACATGCATACACAATTCTTCATACAGAACATGAAAAAATAATTAAATAAATAAATAAATGATCATCATAAGGTCAAAAACATAGAGAATAAAAATATCTTACGTCCACGGGAGGTTAGTGTGCAAATCATGAGAAGAAAAAGGGGGTGTGGTATTGGGGATCTCAGCCTCCCCCTACCAGACCAAGTTGTGAGCTGTATATTTTTTTATTTTTCAACATAATTTCAGGTAGATATACATTTTTTTCTTTTACTCTGTTACATACACACAATGCGGAAAAAAATAAAAGAAATGATTATCATAAGGTTAAAAACATAAGGGAATAAACATTCCTTACGTCCACGGGAATTAGCGCGCAAATCACGCGAGGAGGAGGAGGAGGAGGGAGTAGCTTTGGGGATCTAAGGCGCTTCAGTTTCCCGTGTCCTGTGTGTAGTGTATTACCGACTGATAAGGAGGTATATTTAAAAAATTTTATTTATCAGTATAATTTTTATTTATTCCTCATATTTACTGGTACTACAATATACACGCAACCCTGGTCCCTAATTGCCACAGATAATGAGGAATGTACAGTACTGTATATAAAAAAATATGTTGTGAAAGCTGCCGGCTGGGAACGCATCCCCCCTCTATTACACCGATTCTTATGGGGAAAATTGTCTCAATATTCATAATGACTTTTAGAAATGCATCCTTTGCAACAACCAGGATATTCCTGTACCTGGGTCCTATTTTCAATAATAATTGATCGCTTGAGACTGAAGACAGCAAACCAAGTTATGTGTATGTTGGCTAATACTGTACAGTCTCTCCTCGACTTACGACGGGTTCCGTCCAGACGACCAGGTCGTAAGTCGAAAAGGGGAAAATAATACAGAAATTCTAAAATGAAATACAGTACAGTAAAAGTAATCAATAATGAAAAATGAATAAAGTGTTACTGGGCACTTACCTTTAATGTAGTCAGGTGAAAGCACACGGGGCCTCAATAATTTTTTAATTAAGCATGGAGACTACATTAATTGGATGAAGCAGAGAAGGAGACAGGGACGTCGTATGTCCGGGTTGTCATAAGTTGAATATGCCGTAAGTCAAGGAGAGACTGTACTTATAACTCACAAATATTGACAAACCACACCAAAATGAAAATGTTCATATCATTGGTGAGGTCTGTTTTGGTTTATGGAAGAGAAACACAGTACAACAATGAAACTATATAGTCAGTTTTGGAATTTTAAAAGTAAAACACTCGGGAGAATACTGTGAATAAGATGGCAGGATCTTGTCAGAAAGGAAACCATACGGGAAATTGCAAATGTACTACAGGTATACGTTTAAGAGTGGATGATGAGAGACCACTGTACCTGTAGATGGGGCACATTCTTCGTGTTCAACTAGAGAAAATAATAAGGGAAGCTATGAGGTGGACACCTGTAGGAGCCAAAAGAAGAGGAACAGCGAGACCCACATGGATTTAAAGCATGATGAGAGAGATGGAGGACAACTGGGACGTGGAAGTCCTTTGCGTTGAACAGAGTTGGAGGTGGTAATGGTAATGCTGAGTCAGCTCACTCTGAACTGATGAAAAACTTTAAAAACAAGAATCACTGAGCTTCCATTCATTACACAAATAAGTACTGTACTGTACTTACAAAGAAGGAGCGGATAGACAAGTCAGAAAATCCTGGTGAACAGAAGTTCAACATCGCAGCATTTGCATTGTCGGTCACTTTCTGAAACACTTTGTATTGGGATGGTGTGTACAAGTCAACCTGGGGAAAACAAAATCTGGTCATAATAAAAGTTTCAAGTATTTTGAGTGAAATGTTTTGCATCTGCATTACATCCTGATACTCCAACAAACTTCTGTATTGTATATACAGTACTGTATACATTACCTCTAATGAACCTCTCATAAACTAGGTGCAGTACAATTCATCCTTTGATTACTGGGGGTTTACAAAAAATATTTTCAGCTTTTTTTTTTTTAGATATAATTTATTGATAAGATGGTTAACTCAGCATCAACTAGTGGCATATTCGGATGAACTGTTCTGATTTATCGCACTTTTATACAAGGTATACACTTGGCGTAACACAGTATGTATACTGTATACAAAGATAGGTTGTGAGAGAAATGCAGCCACAGATGGCAGGACAGAAAACAGCACAATTTACATCACTTAAACTGTATACAATACTGTAATACCAATAATACCTATAATAAATTCACTATTTGAGTAATTCTGTCTTATGAGTTAAGTTTTCCTATGAAATCTCAAAAGTCAGAAAAACTTAAAACAACTTATTTTGACAAACCCACCTTTCCATCCTCATCAAGTAATGGTTCATTATATGCTCTCACAACAACCCATTCAATCAATATTCCTTTGAAAGTTACCACAGCCCTCAGCACACGACCCAGAGTCACCTGCAATAAAAATTTGATTTCATCATGTAATGGCAGGTACAGGTACTGAAATATGATGCTATAAATAATTTCATTAGAATAAAATAGTTGTTTCTACACTGCCCCAAATGGGCTGTCTGGTCAAGGTGGCCCACCGTACAGTAAAAAACCCATAATTCGCAATCTTTTTCTGTTGCAAAATATATACAGGTTGTACCTCTCTAATCCGGCATTCTATGGTCCGGAACGATTTTAGTTTGTCCAATAGGTAGATAGGCAGCTTTTTTTTTTTCTTTTTTTTTTTCCCTTATCTGAATTATTATTATTATTACAGGAGTATTAAATTTTTGCCCTTCAGGCCCCAATGTGGGTCAGTGATCTATGCCCAGGTGGGCTAATCCCCTTAAAAAAAAAAAGCCGCGGGAAATTAAGGTTTGTTTACATCCAGCAGTTCGGCTGCTCTCTCTCTCTCTCTGCTTGTCTATACAGAGTACAACATTTAACCCTTCAATATATATGAGCAGTAAATAAGTGTTGCTTTCATATTCTTATGTAGAGTAATGACGATATATTTTCACATGTGCGCACTTACATACGAGCACTCACTTTTTTTTTACCATTAATGGTTAGCTACTTATATTGTTCCATTTATTAACATTAAATAACATTACAGGTACTTCAAGCAACCATATTCATTTTTTACATTAATTTTACTACAGCTAAACTCAGGGTCTTATTTTCTTCAGTTTTATATGTAGAACCAATCAGTCACTGGTTTCGTAAGCTTTAACATAAACAATGCCGGCAGCCGTCTCGTCTCCTCTAATATTCCACGTATTATTAATAAATTGTATTGTTAATTTTGCACACACGTACATTAATTCAATAAAAACAAATTCAGAAACATTAATTAAAATATATATGAACAGTAAATAAGTGTTGCTTTCATATTCTTATGTAAAGTAATGACGATATGTTTTCACGTGTGCGCATGAGCACTTACATATGCGATCTCTCTTTTTCTTTACCATTATCGTTAGCTACTTCTATTGTTCCATTTATTAACATTAAATAACATTACTTTAAACAACCATATTAATTTTACTACAGCTACAACCAAGGTCTTAATTTCTTCAGTTTTATATGTAGAACCAGTCAGTCACTGGTTTTGTAATCAACGAAAACAATGCTGTGTCATTTCCTCATGTGTTTTAATTTTCTACGTATTATTAATGAATTGTATTGCTCATTTTGCACACAAACATTAATTCAATAAAAAAGACATTCAGTAATAAACAATAATGAATCTTTGTACATAAGAGAAATGACGCTGTTTACACGATTATGCACGTCGTCTGCACGTTGGCGGGCCATTCAAACCCGTCGAAATTCAAGTTTCCGCCGTCAAAATTTTTATTTATTTATTTTTTTGTGTGTTCCAATAAAATACGGTAAGAATTAAAAAACTCGCGAAATTTGAGAAGCTACTATACGACATTTAACCCTTCAATATGTCTTCAAAGAGACCATGACGCAGAGAAAGTGGTGCTAGTGCTTCCAGGCATAAGCACAAGTCACTATCTATCCAGGAAAAGGGTGAATTTCCATGGTCCGGCACCGGTCAGGTCCCGAGGTTGCCGGACTAGAGAGGTACAACCTGTATTAAAAATGTCATATTATATTATGAGGGCTTGAACTGCCACCATTTATGAGGGCCTCTGTGTGCCAGTAACAATTCCTTTTACTCTTATACTTATCACCATTGGTAGCGTGACGATAGGAGGCTCGTGGGTAGGTGTAATGATAGTAACAAGCAATAGGGAAGAAATAACGGTAAATACTGTAGGTAAATAATCGACACAATTATACAAATACAAAGTTTATTTAAACATGAATATGAAATTAGAAGAAAGAATGGGTTTGTACTAACAGACGAAATCTAGTACTAGGCCCTCAGGCTCAACATACTCACACCATTACTGGGTGGACATATTCAATAACACTTCCAACCCTACTGGGTGGACATACTCAAGAACACAACTATTATAGTCATTTAGCACCATAAATACTAGGGCAACTTCCAGCGGGATTGGTTTCACAAACAATTTCCGCAAGGTTGCTTTAAGTTTATCCCAATCTTCCTCATCGGTACCGAGTTCTACTTGGACCATGTCTTCAACTTGCTGGTCCATGCGGTCGGTAGCTACATACCATCTATCCCTTGAGCTAACTGCGCAATACTCTACTCTGACTCAGCTATCAAAAGCAAAATTAAATTGATTACAAAGGGTTGGATGGCAACAGGTCCCAGCATACAGCGTCTGCTACTAAATCCGCGGATTATATTCCAAGCTCCCATAGACAAAGACGGGGGAAACAGAGAAAACGGGGGACGTTTCCACTGGGGGACTCAGAAGGTTTTGTGGACGTTTGAGCGTAATATGAATCCTTAAGGTTTTTCGGTTAGCTCTTATCATGACCATTACAATATTAGGTAAAATTTCAAAATATTATGATACAGTAATCCCCCGACATACAGAATTTCAAAATATTATGATACAGTAATCCCCCGACTTACAGAAGGGATGCACCCTTGAAAAGTTGACCGTAAAGTGAACTCCGCTTTCCCATTGACTTCCATTATATAATTGGAGATGTGTTCCCAAAGAAACTTTTGGGCAAAAAGAAGTAATAAAAGCACTCTTATATATGAAAAGAAACGTTTTTAAACACACTGTACATGGAGTATTTTTTTAAAATAATAAATATACAAAACATTTGAATGTAACTCACCACAAACGATGAGTGCTGTGTGAGGTGCGATGGTGCAAAAGTTATTAGTGGGAGACGTAACAAGCTCTAATGCTTTTGCAATCTGGGTAAGTTTTTTCCTGCATAGCCTCCATAAAACTTCAAGTTTTATCTCCAACATGATTCCTTTATGGGCTCTTTTAGCGCTACTGCTTTCACTTGCACTTAATGGCCTCTTTCCACTCCTCTTGAATAAAGGTAATAAACTGGACAGTCTTAAATCCGAGGATGGGGTCATGAGATCAAGCGTACATGCTGGGAGATATAAACAAACCAAGTTCAGTGGCATGGGTGGGCTATGTACTCACACTTGGTGGTAGCAAACACCAAGAAACCCACACCATACAGATTATGCCTGTGAATTTTGTTGTTGTTCTATATTGCAATTTTTGCGGTGAAAATGTTGAACATTTATCCCATTTCCGTAAGATCAAATTAAAGGGCTGTATCCCAAAATTAGTGGTCATAATTTACAAATTTCGTATGGGTTATCGTGTAGCTCAATGATTATCGGTCAGTATTGGTATTGTTACTTGCCATCGGTATTTTTTTTTTTACTTACAGTGAGAGGACATCATAAACATTTACATTGTACTCTGTTTTGGTGACTGTGAAGTGATTTTTTGCTATTTTTTGTGAAAGTAAAGTGCTTTGCCTCTGTTGTTCTGAACATAATGCAAGCAGTGTCAGCCACTATCATTGTACTAAGTTATCATCGTTCGCTGTTTTTGTGACTGAAGTGAGCAGTGTAACTTTGAAAATGTCTGAGACGGCCAAGACATCCAGGAAAACCATGCCTCTGGAGGTAAAGCTTGACACTGTAAAGTTGTATGGGAGTCAGAGTGATGTGTCCACTCCACCATTCAAGAGTCCCCTTAGCCTCGATGGGGACAAGTGTTGTTTAATTGTGTTTTATGAATATCATTATTGTAGGAATTTTATTTTCGGTGATACGTGTGGGTGTCGGACTGGCTGGTAACATATCCCATTGAACCCCATGTTTTAATAATCTTGATTTACGATATTTTGAACTGCGATGGGGTTTTCAGGAACGTAACGCCATCTGTACAGTGGTCCCTCGGTTAACGAGCTCAATTCGTTCCAGAAGGTTGCTCGTTAACCGAAAAATTCGTTAACCTCCTAAATTATACATAAGTAATTACATGAATGGAAAGGATTAACATA